TAAAGTGAAACTCGAATAGACAAAGTGAATATAAGGACACAAATTACGATAGCACGCTTTAACAGTAAATTTAATCAAGACTAAGTAATAATGATAGAACGGGCAAAAGAAATACATAGTAATGATAGTCTTCAAATTTCAAGAAGCGAGGAAGTAAAAAACGCTGTTGAAGATGAAACCAGTATGGACAGTAGCGATGCAAACAGTATTCAAGCTGGAAAAACAGGCCAAATCAATAAGCAAAGACAGCAGATGCAAAAGAACGCGTAGGCTCTACGGCAAAGAAGAGCACTGTGTACACCATTCAGGGGCCTGCCAGGAGATTGGTAAAACAAATGCATCAAGAATCATGCCCTGATGGACCCAGCCCACAGCCACATTCGCTAACCGTATCCAGAACTAATCCTAGATAGTAGTCCTACTAAAACTGATCCGTAGATGAGAGTTTTCGCTCAATTGAGTATTATGTAACTCCTAAAGGGTAAATTTTTAAAAATAACCAAACTTACAATCAAAGCCTGTATTGCAACATCGATGCTTTCTAATTGGATGAATGCCATCTTCTTGTCTTTTCTATAATGAAGTGAGCAGATTAAATGGGATAAAAGACCGAAGGCTTATTTTACTGAGACTTACTGCATGAATCTGAAGCTCATTACTTGATAACCTTTCTGGCTAAATAAAGCACGGATCTCGTCCTCTGTGACAGAGGCAGGGATATTGCTGAGATGAAGAACACTACTAGGGGCAAAAATATTCTGAAAGTTCTTGGAATTTGGTTTCCTAAACCTATGAAGCAAGCTGTTGGCGTAATCCTTTGTGAGGCCAGCATCATTGCTGTCTTTTGGCATCTGGACTACGTTGTACTTCGAGAGTGAAATCTTCATTGGCTTCCCCCATAAAGTTACTCCGTTGAGATGTTTCAAGGCTGAAATAAAATAAGATGTATACAATTATAAAAAAAACAAATTTCGGGGATTAAATGTTGAAATTTTTACCACAAAGAGCCTGCTGGGCATCTGCAAATTGAACTAATGAAGTGTCCTTTTTGTTAAACATGATCTTCACTCGAGTTACATCACCGTAGACGCCTAAAAGTAAAAAAGTCTTATAGGCTCAAAGCGATACCAATAATCTCTAAGTGATTCTCGAAGGCTCATGTAAATACAGCGAGAAAAAGCATTGAAGATTTAAGGAAAAGAAAATAAGGGTAGGGAAATCGTTCAGTATTAACGCCATTCCAACCTACCAAAGAGTGTGAAAAGGGCATCCGGGTAGACTCTCTATGTTAAATAAGTTTTAAAAGAACGTGAATAGCGTCGTAGTATTTGAGCCGAAAGAAAATAAAGTCAAAATTAAGTGATCCAAGGCAAATGCATCCAGATTTAGGTGAATCAAATGAATGAAGACGACGGCAATAGAAAGATAAAATCACGTTAAGTAAAAAAGTGCCGAGGAAACCAGATTTGGCACGATTTTGTTGATAGTTGAATGTGAACCAAATAAGCACCAAGCCAGACGAAGAAGGTGATGTAGCAGTATGAAAAGAAAAAGAAGAGAAAGAAGAAATAATCGTAAATGAAGCAATGATCATTAAATGGATAGAACAAATCTATAGAAAAGAAATAAAACAAGGGATTAGAAAGAAGACAATAAAGAGAAGAAGTAAGGCTTCACAGATCGTTCTAAATTGAAGCAGACGGGAATGGGAAGGACCAAGAAGAAGGACCAAAGTGGATTACAAAAAAGTAACTTGCCTCGTCATTCAAGTTGGAAACAATGAGAACATTGCTGCCGACCCCTTGGAATTGTTGTGTCCTCAATCCAAGCTGGGAATTTCCACCTCCAGAGAGGCCCACTCCAGTCAAACCACCGCTCTGAGCAGCTGCCGCTTGACTAAGCATAGATGCCATGTTTGCCGCTGCCGCAGCAGCAGCATTTGAACTTGCAACGCCGGGGAGCCCATGTAGGCCTCCAGGTAGAGCAGGATGGGCCTGGCCGCCTTGTCCAGATTGCGCAACTTGACCGCCTTGTGCTGCTAAGGCCATAAAGCTGGCTGTTGCAGCCGCAGCCGCAGGACTAAGGGGAACACCGGATTGTTGAGCGAAGGCCGTAAGTTGAGCCGTCAGATCGTTTAAGCCAACGGAGACACCAGGAGCACCGCCCCCGCTGGAAACCTGAAAGCCTCCTCCTGGCATACCAGCAGCCGACAAACATTGCATATTGTTTCCAGAGAGGCCACTTGCCGCGAAGTGAATACCAGCGGCGTTTGCGTTGCCCATATTCCCCGAGCCAGCGATACCAACATTCCCTACCCCTGTACCCCCAGGAAGAGAGCGCAAGCTAGAGATTTCTTCGTCTGCAAGTGGGGATATCAAATAGTCACGACATTTATCACTTTCATGCCTTATTTCTAAAGGGCCACGATTTTTTGAAAATTCAACTCGCAGCGAGCAGCAACCGGTGTATATATTCTGTCCATTGAGATGCTAAAAATAACCAAATTAGTTAAGATAATTAAGAGTCCGGCACGCACACATGACCAGTTACTTACCAACATTGCTACAAATGCTTGGGTCGGATCTTCAAACTCTAGAAGACATTGATACTGATTATTTCTGAGGAAAATTATGACTCTAAGGATTTTCCCGAACCGATGAAAAATCTATGGCCAGTAAATAAATACAAATAGTTTACCTTATATAAAATCATGTGATTTATTTGCTGTCCCATAATATTATCAATGAGAATGCGGAGAACTGTATTAGGGAGTCCAGAGTTCACACCACTCAGATCTTGAGCAACCAGACGATTTGCATTCTTTACTGCATTTTCTATTACATTATTCTCTGAATGCAATTCAAGTCTCTGGTGCTTTGAAAACTGTATCATGAGATTTTTGCCGTGGAGATTAACAGGAAATTGTCTATAGTAGGAGACGAGGGCAATGGCAACATCTATTGTAGCCATCTCCATCAGTGCTTGGTTATTTTTCTTGGATAATACAAGATTATCGATCATCCCGAATGGAATACCAAGCAAAGCGATCTCGTTTTCTGATGCGTCAGATGGCATGTTGCGCACGTGGACGACTTTGGAAGGAGGTGCATCTAGGTTGTCCATTCTCGACTAAGCAAAAATAATTAACTAAAAAAAATACCTTCTTGCTCTCATTTGTCTCAAGGTCCATAGGTACGTGTCCATTTCCGTTAGAAATCATAACTTCATCTGGACCGAGCTGTGAGAGAATAAAAATGGTCAATAGCAAATTTGGCAAGTTAATATGTTGTAAATAAAAAAATACATAATAAAAAAAACATAATTCAACAAGTGAAGACTATAGTTAGCTAAGAAAGCAAGGCAGACCTGACTGCCAGATTCAAGAGATAGGCGTCTCTGGTGGTTAGGGGAAATCAAGTCAATGGAGCTTACTTTCCGCTTGCTCGACTGAAAAAGAAATTAAAAAACAATTGTTGGCAAAAATCTAGACCATCAATAATAAAAATTAAGCGGAACAAGACGGGAATGGGATGGTGAGTAGGGATGCAGCAAGTAACAGACCAACAAAGACATACCATGAATGTAGGACAAGCCTAAACAGATATGGCGTACGAGGGAGCGAGCCAAAAAGAAAATGCAAGCCTGACGATTAAAATAATTCAATTTTTTGGAAAGGTTGTAAAAACAATTATTATGATTGCTATAATTATTTACATATGAAACAAGCAATAGATAAAGTATTTTTGACTAGAATGATTAGTTCTCACAATTACTTCAAGATAGCGTTAGGTCAAGAAAAGTTACATTCTATTCTTTACATACTACATATATTGGTTACTAAAAACAACCGAATAAAGGGATAAATGAAATGATTCCATTCGGACACAAGCCATTAGTAATAACTCTAATTATTTATAACATAACATAAAACTAAAATTATTATTGAGCTTACTTCCATTTCGAGTGAGTGTTGGGTGAAGAGATTCGAAGGTCGATTCCGCCAGAAGACGATGGCGGATTTCGCTTGACCAACTGTTGATTGGCTTTGCTGACGCTGTTTCCGAGGTAATCTCCTTCGATTTCGCTATAAAAGTGCTAAACTCATGTCCATCATATGGCTCGTTAGCTTGAATTTTGTTGTGACAATGATACCTTGCTCTGATGATGCTCATCATATGATGGACGAAAGCTTAGCCCCTTTTCACCGGAAACGAAGAAGATTACCTCAAAAAAAGCGTTAGCATGAATCTTCCAGTAAAGCCAATTGACAATTGGTCAAGAGGAATCTGCCGTCGTCTTCTAGTGGAACCGACCTTCAAATTTCTTCACCTAACACTTTCACTCGAAATGGAAGTAAGCTCAGTAATTATAAAACAAAAGATTCCTTGAAACCTAACTTTTTTTCACATAAACTAAAATGACCCAGGTAAACTCTTGATGATGACTCAATCTTTAATATACTATTGATTGAACATATATGATCCTAATAGATATGTGGAGAGAGCGTAAAGACAGTCACAACATAGAAAAAGAAAATATGTTTTTATTTTTTGAGAGCTAAATACGGAAAGTGTTACAAAATATTATGCTCGTGCAATTACTCTTATTAGGAGCGTCCTGTTTTCTATCGGCCAAAGTATATCAGAACACAAAAGAATCGTTATGGGATTTTGTTAAAATGACAAAAGTTAATGGAACACACAAATATTGGTATAAGATATAATGGTCTCAGCTGTATCGCCTTGCTTATCATATTTCGTCACAGCAGGCCCTATATTATTTAAGAATTACTTGTGTATATTTGAGATACTTAAGGAAATAGATGGTAATTAGCCATCAATAAAACTAATGTCTCAACCGGACATTTCTGTATAGATTTCTGAGTACATTCACATCTCTCTGATATCTGACTTTATATAAAAAGCGCCATCTATAGCATCGATCTATTAAAGTGCTAGGTAAAGCCAATTCCCCTGATTAACTTTTAGTTTAACAACTGTGTATATAACTCTCCCCCCTCATTTTTTAGTAAGGAGCATCACCTCTTTTTTCTTCCTGTATCCTTCTCTTACACTCCAATTTCGAATTGCCAAGCTAATTTTTCCCATCGTTTGTTCTGATAGCCTCCAAGAGTGCTTCAATTTAATTTGGCAACTCTCTTCTCTATGGTACGCTTTTCTTCTCTATACTTTATTACTTAACAGGGAATTTCTACAACTTTTTATGAAGAATTTTTATTTCAGACGTATTTTTTTTAGAAATTTCTTGATTATTAATTTTCTTTAAAAATTTTAAGCTAAAGGCAATCTTCTTCAAATACCTGATTTATTATTTCCCTTTGACTGAGGGGGTTGATTAATTAGTTAAAGTTTCGTTTTCTAATATTTTCGTTATATCAAGCAAAAAGTTGAATTGTGCTTAGGTTATTCTTTGATCACTAGGAGCCATTTTTAATGCTCTTTATATTATAATTTAATATATACTTCTGCATAATAAGTAAAGTTATTAAATACTGATTTTGATCATTCC